TTTGGAACGACATGAGGGTGAGTAATTAATGACAGAATTTTCATCGTTAAGTGATCTATCCCTTCAGCTGTCCCTCCAGCAAATTGTTAACATTTGGTGTTGTTCCGTGTCTACACAGCTTGTGGCAATCTAATGGACATTGCCATAGTTTTGGACGGATCCAACAGTATATACCCATGGGAACCAATTGTTGCTTTCCTCACGAAACTGTTGGAAAACTTAGATATTGGACCTCAAAGCACTCAGGCAAGTAAGACAGCTGGTGTGCCATTTTAGCATTTTGTTTTATATTTATAGTTAATATATTTCTGATTTCATTCATAACAGGTGACTGTGATGCAGTATGCTGTTGACACCTCATTCGAGTTCTACCTGAATTCCCATCGGACAAAAGAGTCCATGATTAAAGCAGCTTCAAATATTCAACAGAAACAAGGATTAGAGACTAATACTTTCAAAGCCATCGAATTTGCAAGGTATACATGACTCTTACTGAGCAATGTGGTAGAAATTCCCCCACACACCTGACTTAAGATACCTGTTGGGGTCTCGTCTCTGGAGACGTATCCCCAAAGCGCTAATAAATTCATTCTCTTGGCGTTTCTCTGGTGATGTAGAGTCGGACGACGTTTCGTCCCTTTTGAACACTATCACTTAGGACTAACATCTCTAGTGTTCCACTACACTTACAGTAACCAGACAGACTCCAGACGATGTCTTTGTATATGCTTTAATCATGGCCAGGAGGACCTCATACCAGTCACAGAGAATCCTCACAGCAGTTTATATAGCATAGATACATGGCAAGATTACATGTTCATTACATAATTCTTCTCTAATATAATTGGTTCTTCTTTTGTGCAATTCAGCAAACCTCTCCTCTTGTTACTGGCAAGGCAAGTTTAGTTTTTTGATTACTTCACCTTGTTACTCAAGTGTAACTCATGGGTTGTTATGGTTGTTTTTTAATGGGTTGCTATGTACGTCTAGCCGTCTTGTCCATATGCATTCGTTATTGCAATGCATCAACTAAAGTGTTAGTACATTTGTTCCCAAAAGAATATAAATGCTATGCCTGCAAGGAAAATGAATGTTAATTATGATTAATTTAAAATTTCCTTCACAACAACTACACCTGAGGGAATTACTGAAATACAGTACAGAACAAGGCCTCCTTTAACAGCATATGAATAGATATTTCTTCAAATATGGGCACTTTAAGGAGATAAATAATCTCTCATTAAACACACTCTTCACATTTAAATTGTATGTCTAACATTGGATATATATACATTACAGTAAAATTATTTTAGTTAGTTATTAATATTTTGCACTTTTTGCATTACTTGGCATTATTAGCGTATGATTAGGTGACACACCATCAAAATATTACGCTTGCAAGTTATATTTTCCTGTTTTGTTTTGCTTCATATACAGTATCACTTT